TATATAACGAAAGGAAAATATATCAAGTCATATGTATTTTACTGATTACATAATATTTAGTTTAAAATACGATATCTAAAATGAAATTTTTTTAACTAAATAATTAATAGCTATTTTGTATTTAGAAGAATAGTTTTTATTTTCTTACCTCACACCCATAACTATACCTCACTCTAGAACTACAAATTGGATAGGGCGTAATTCCACTCATTTTGATAAATATACATCTGTACAAGTGTTGGTATCCCTGAGAAAAAAAATTCAGCAAAATTATAGGGAGGGTGGGCCTCCTTATAATTCACATTCGCTAACTTTCGGCAGATCTATGACCAATGTGATAGATAAGATAAGAAGATATAAAAAGTTATTATTTACTTATAAATAAATTTAAAAAACATCTTTCTAATATCAAAAACAATGAACCCGGATTAAAACAAACTTGTTTAATTTTCTATATATTCAACAAATTGACCCAGCAAGCCAACCTAGCAGACCGACCCAACAAGTCGACCCAGCAGGCCGACCCAGTATGCCAACCCGGGTCGGCTCAACAGGCCCAATGGGTCGGGCTGGGTCGTGGTTGATTTATCGACCCTAGCTCTGGGTTGGGCCAATTTTTACGACTTCGACTCGGGGTCGTGGTCGATAAAATCAACCATTTAACAACACTAGAATGGACCAATAAGGAAATATTTTCTAGGCCTAAACCAAATCAACAATTCTTGCAGAAGAAAGTATAAACGACCTATCTAAATCATAAAACTATTAAGTGGTTAGAGCTTCCTTTTAGATGACATGATGGTAGCTAGATAAGTAATCGAGAAAATTATTGTGAGATATTAAATTTCTAAAAGATTATCATCCATTTTAAATGATCTACAATATATCGACTACACAGTTGACCATTATTGTTTATCTAAAATAAATCATATCCTCTCAGCCGTTGTATTAATAATCTTAAATTACATAGCAATAAACACAAATAATAGATTAAAGTTAATTTGCAATAATAGCCATGACACTCAAGATGTAAACTAGTATCAGAATTTATTATGTTGGATAAATTGATAAAATAAAAACACTCAAAATCTTTGGAAGAATTAATTGTGCAAATATATTGAAGCCTTGAGTTATTTAGACGGCAAGGATGCTGTTGAATATGTTGATCGATGTTATTTTATTATTTATTTTGGCAATTGATTTATTTTTTTATATATCAATTTGTATTTAAATTTAATCGGTGAAAATTTTATATTAACATTTTTTTATATACATCAATTTGTATTAGTTATTTTTTTTTATTATTGTTTTAAAAAAATGATATATAAAGAGATAAAAAAATGTAATTTATCTTTAAAAATAAAAATGTAATTTCTCATATAATAAAATTTAAATTATGATTTAAAATAAAATGATAATCAATGAAAAAGGTGTAATAATTATCTGTGATAAAAGTGGAAATAATTCAATTCCAACAGAATGATATAAGTTATATATATCATTGGAATGGGTATGATAATAAATTTTAAAAATAAATATACAGTTGATTAGTCATTTTGAACTCTGCTAAAATATTAAATTTTTTAGTTTTCAATTAATAAATGATTATATTTATTTAATAAGGGTTATAAAATAATTTTAATAATAATAGTCAATTAAACTTCAACTGTTAATGCTAAATTAATATTTAGTGAGTGTTATTGATATTCTATTTTTAACACAAAATTTGATTGCTAGCTGACATTGAAAATATAATGTATATGTATTAATTATATCTAATATTTAAAATAGTATTCATTTAATAAATATTTAGATAGTCTTATTAATTTTTAAATAATAAAATTAAATCTATATTTTTCTTAATAGAATTATAAAAGAAATCATTCAGGGACAATCAAAAAATTTATTTTTAATTTAAGGGGTTAAGATACCATTAATTTTGCTTCAGGGGGCTCGAGCCCCTGCGCGTTCTCCCTAGCGACGCCACAGTACCCTATGTAATTTTGATAATGTTAGGTTAAAAAAAAAAGAAGATGATATTATATGATAACATATTAGCTAAAAAGAAGGAGGTAATTTTGAAAATAATTTAAAAATTTTTTCGAGATTGTTAAGACTGATGACGTCCATGCAATATAATGGGAGAAAATTTTATAACAATTCTCTTCTAACATTAGATAGTTTCGTTAAAAATTCAAGATATGTTATATCTTTATTATAAAAAAATGACGAATAATATATTGCCAACGCTAGTTTGTCAAAATATTTTTAGATATAACATTAATTTGTTCACTATTATTTTTCAATTTTTTTTAATCAACATTAATAGCGTATTGCATAAAAATTTGGTGAAAAGTGGGTTTAGGCTACGATTTTTATATATAAAAAATATAAAAAAATATATATTTTTTGCTTTATTACGAATATGAATAAATATTTTATTTATATTATATTCTAAAATATATGCAACAAATTTAATACTATTGATATTCTACACAAATTAAAAAATATATATGAATATAATTCAAATTTTTATAAATCTTTGGACTGTATTTTTTATAGAGATCATTTTTCTGCGACAATTCTTCTTCGAAATTTGACATATGCTTCCATTCCGGTGTGGAAGTCCATTAATATTTATGAATATAAAATATCACAGAGTTAAGGATTAATTTTAATAAATAAGAAGTTAATTTTATTAATAAAAGTAATATTAATTATTAACTTGATCATTGGCGTACGCAGCGGGGGAAGGGGGCTGGGGGACAAATCCCCCCCCCCCAAGCCAAAAGATGCAGATGCCGGATATATTTTTCAAAAATATTTTTGTTTAGAGTGTTGTGCACATTTAATTTAAAACATTTCCATATTTTTTAATTCGTTTGTAAATAAAAATTTTAACTTGTAAAAATTGATAAGAATATATAAATATGTTATTTTAACAACTTTTTACAAGTCAAATAATTTTATTTTCAAATAAATTAATAAATATGGAAATGTTTGAATTAAATTTACACAGTACTATATTAATTTATATTTGTTAATATTTATTCCTATCTCATATTAAATATATATTTTATTACATTTATTATCACATTCATCACTAGGTTTATCAATTAATTTCGATTTCAAGTTTTCCGGCTTAATATTATCTAATTATTTTCAAATTTAGTGGCGTAATATTTATCTACCATTTTTAAATTTCTAGTCAAATAATAATTATTCTGAAATTGTCCAACAGGGAGAAAGAAATTGCAACCTTGTTCTACGAGATAGTCTCCGCCATCAAGCAGTAACAGCTTTTATGGAGTTAGAAGAGCCGATTATTTGCTATTACTGACTTATCACAATGGCCTGAAAGAAATTTTTCCTTAGAAGCAAGAAAATTATTGGATTCAATGCTTATTCCAAATTTTTTTCTCATTAATGTACAACTATTTTATGTATTACTTTTCAAAAGCATGATGACTTGATTAAGAAGATGAGAATAGCGAAGAGCATTTTATTAGAATTCAAGGAAATTAGGGCTAATGTTTATGAAGAATTTCATATTTTATATGTTATTGTTAAATCAAAAGCAGAGCTATACCTGTTTAAAATTTGTCTCACTCGACTTGCAGCAAGACAAACTCATAGTTAAAACAATAATATAGGATCAGTAGAAGAGTATATCTTAGATGCACATTAAACCAAATAAATGAATGGTTTTTAATTCATTAACACTTACCAATCTGCAAATATTATTTCCATAAAAGCCTTCCCAACCTTTTTGAGATGGTGATAGAAAAAAAAATATTTGTTGGATTTTTATCATGAAGATGTTAAAGTATTTTATGATGCCTTATTAGCTGAATAACTATGTTTATAAGATTAACTATGGTTGATACAATCCCAAAAAATGCTATGGATGCTCTGCATTATTTCAAACACATTTTAGATTATATTCCCAATGTATTAAAAGGGTTTATATATATTAGCAACTCTTCCCAATAGTAAACTAATGAGAGAACATTCTCTTTTTTTAAGAAGAATAACAGAGCCCTGCAGAGGTACCATTTTCAGGGCACGACCCGGATTTTTTTAAAGATTTTTACGGCTAAGCTCAATTTTCAGGCCCGACCCGGCCATTTTTAAAAAAAAATTTCAGGCCCAGCCTAGATATTTTTTTAAAAAAATTCAGGCTCAGCTCGGGTGTTTATTTTTAAAAATTTCGGGCCCGGCCATACTGCCCAGCCCGAGGGCCGGGCCTGAAGGTCTGAAAAACATACCAAGAAGTACAACTTTTGAAAGTAGATTGAAAGGTTTGGATCTTTTGAATATTCATAGGCATTTGACAATAAGCAAGCAAGGATGAGATAATTGGAAAATTAGCTCAATCCAATGATATATATAACATTGGCTCAATTCCAACGAAGATTGGATGTTACATTGTAAATATATAACATACAAAATACAATTATTCCCTAAGCTTTTTGTGTATTATTTATATTTCTAACGTTTAAATTTTTTATACTTTATATATAAATTTTAAAGCTCAAAAAATTCAAATTTCTATTTTGGGTCATTTAAGTGATTCTTTACATATAATTTTTTTATAATTCACATTAATTTAAAATTGTGTATTAGAAATAGTTATTTGTCCTGATAAATTTATGCTTGATATTTTTAAAAAACAATAATATTTCTTAAAAAATTAATTTATCCCCCCCCCCCCCCCACCCCCACCCCAGACCAAATTCCTGCGTATGCGCCTGAACTTAATGAAAAATCTTAGTGTGGTTCTAGCCAAATATTAAAATTAGAAGTTTTTAAAACTTATATCTTTATACAATATTTAAGTTAAATTTTGCATTCAATTACAAATACTCATATAAAAATCGAAACATTGATATTGCTTCTTTCAACATGTCATTGAATGATATCACATTATATTTGACAGTTAGTGATGATTTCAATATTATTATAACAAAATTTAAGTATACTATATTTGGAGACTTTATAATTCTAGCATGTCTAGAATAATTATAAAGAATTTACCTGATTATATAGGACAAAATCCTGAAAAGTTAAAAGAATTATTTGCCACTCAAGGATTGGTATGTAATTTAAAATATTTATCTACTTTTAAAATGTATTAATTCCACTTAATATTATTGCTTATTTAATATATTTAGATAACAGATTTACAATTAAAATTTGCAACTAATGGAAAATTTAGAAAGTTTGCTTTTATTGGCTTTTTAAATGATGAACAAGCAGCTCTTGCCATTAAAAAATTTCATAAATCCTTTATAAACACCTCAAGGTATGTCTATAAAACTTTTATAAACTAGAATTTATTTTTATTATATAGAATTCAAGTTCAGTTAGCATCAGATTTGAAGGATACATCCAAACCACGTTCCTGGAGTAGATATTCCAAAGATAGTTCAGCATTTCACAAACAATCTATTATTAAAGTACTTTATAATTTTTTTTCATTATTAATTTTCATTATATTTAGAAATTTGATATTGAACCTAAGATTAATAATATAATAGAAATATCATCTGGTATTGGTATGATAGTAATTTAATTATATGCAATTATAATTCCATTTTTATAGAATATAACAATAATCACTCATTACAAACTACACTTAATAATGAAATGACAAAAATTTCTGACAAAAAATATATGTCACAAAAAATTAAAAGGCAAAAGATATCTGACAATAATAATATATCAAATCCAATAGAAGTTTTATTGCATGATAATAACTATATAAAGTGTGATCTTTTAAGAGCTGATAACATTAACATTGAATCCAATCCAGATAAAGATATTGATAATCACCAAAAATGTATGCCTCTTTTCTTGAATAGTTCTGGAAAACCCAAAACAATCATACAACAGAGGCACATTGCAAAGCTATCTAACTTGCCTAACAAGGTCACCAAGAATCAAATTCTCAAATTTTTTGAGCCTAAAATTACTCAAGATCACATTCAAAGTGTGAAATTAGTTAGAATTTATAAAAAAAATGATGAGAAAATAAAATCTGCCAAAAAGAGTATTGGTTCATATATTGCTATGGTTGAATTCACAGATGAAGTGTCTCTTGAATTTGCCTTGCTAAGAAACAAAACACTACTCAAGAATAGGTTTGTAGAAATGGAGAGAATTGCTAAAACAAAAATTTTGAAAATCAAACAATCTGAGGTTACTAATTATAACTGCAAAGAATCTTTTAAAATTGAAATTAATATTGATGGAAGGAGGGAAGGAAATGAAAATTATCCAAATATGAATTATGTACCATCTGTACTAGATAGTGGAAGGATATTCTTGAGGAATCTTCCATATATTTGCACTGAAGATGATATAGAAAAGTTATTTTCAAAGTAACATTATTTATAATTTTTTTAATAATAAATATCAAAGGCCTTTGCCAAATTTTTTGCCTATCAGATCCAATATCTTCCAATTTTACTACAAATTGATCTGATATCCCAATCCGATATTTGTTTTATTTTTATTCTATCTTTTAACCAATATTGTAAAAAATCAATTTTCAATTCAAAGAACTAACTAACTTTGATAATGGTAAAAATGTGTATTTTTTATTCTCCAAAAGTTATTTCATTTAAACTATGTACAATGTTTATGGTTGAATGTTGTTAAATTCCTTCATTTAACATATTTAAAAAAATGGTTGGATCATTATTTTGCTACAATAACTACCCCCTTGAAATTTTGCCAATAAATATTCACACCTATCCTATCTACCACTGTGGGCAAAATCTCTGTAATTTATTTTAGCTAAAATCGTTAGTTAAATTTTTAGACTATTGAGCCATTTAATAACACTAGCCAAATGTATTATAAATAACCCAAAACTATAAATATCATATTGGATTGGTTTTTAAAAAATATCAGGTTGATCAATATTTTTTCAAAAACATTACTGACCCTAACATGATGTTTACTAGAATATAGTAACTCTGGATTCCATTAAAGTATAATGATAATGAAATTTAATTTTGCGCTAGGGTAACATAGAATCTCTATTTATCTAAAATAAAATATCTTTTTAACGATATTCAATTTTACACTAACATATCATGGAATCTTATCTTAATTTTAGCTGATAGCTTGTATGAAAGGGAATCAGAATTTTCACCTTATGGATAAATAATAACTACTTTCATATGACGATGGATGAATCAGAATAGTCAAATGAGAGGATAGATAATCCATATTCATTCTTCCAAGATTTCTACAAATTTTTAGAGAAAAGGCCAAATATATTATGAAAAATATAGAATAAAAAAAATATGATTTGTGAGTTATGATATTTATCAATTCTTTTAACAAATTTTCCACATCCAGACGCAATAGTTTTTGCCCTCCCTCTTCGTATAAAATCAGCATTCATCAGAATCATTTAAATGTTTTAAAAACCTTCCTAAATACTCTTAGCCATCATAGATTCGAATCAATTATGGGAGTAAACTTGATTATCTCACAAACACTGTGGTGGTATAAACCCATTGCAATGGGCTATTTAGCAAAAATAATTGCCACAGTACAATACTCATGGTCGGGTATTAACTTATAAAGTATACATATCAATTAGGATTTGGTGTTAAGGGATAAGGCAAAATCGCTTCATGTACCATTTATATCAGTGTTGTTAAACAGCTTAGCCAAGCTGGCTTAGCCAAAAACTCAGCCAGTTTTTAAGCCAAAAATTCAGCTCAGGCTCAAGCTGATTATTGAGGCGAAATTTATTTATTTAAGATTAGTGTTAGTGTTGCTAAACAGCTGAGCCAAGCCGGCAAAGCCCTAAACTCAGCCAGTTTTTAGTCGAAAATTGACTCGAATCAGCTCATAACTTGGCTCAAGCCAACTTTTGGCCTAAATTTAATTTTAAACATCTGAGCCATGCTTAGCTCTAAATTCAGCTTGTTTTTGAGTCAAAAAATTGACTGAGGCTCAAGCCAAAAGTAAGATCTCATAATTAAAAAAGATCTACGACACATTGTTTCGGTATGGCAGACTCTTGTTTTTTTCTACCCGCATTATGAAATTGCAAAAAGTATATTTTATACCTGACGATAATAATTGTTATTTAGGCAAAACTCATTCACAAGTTGCTTAATCATTTTGAGTATAACACCCACTTTAAAAATATTCATTTAAAAAAAAAGACTGGATATTAAATAATCAAAATCAGCTATAAAAAAATAACATAAAAAAGCATTGATTCATTTTTTATATTTTCTATTTATTATTATATAGAATTTGTTTAATGTAATTTTTTAAATTATTATTTTATATTATTTATGCTTATATACTCATGCTATAAATAAAAAAAAACACAAATTTAGAATTTATAAATAAATTATACCCCTCATATATATTTTTTAATATTTTTTTTGTTTTTAAATTTTATTTGTACATGCTATTTTATTTTATAGGTATATAAATTAAAATATAAATCATTTTTTCTTTTAAGCTAAAGATATTTAGATAAATAACACTGTGTGACAAATTTCGACTTGATTTTTTGGGAGAATATAAAATAAACATGTTTTAAGACAGTTTTTTATGCATATTCTAAATCCGCTGTCAGTTTTTTTCTAGCACGTCAGTTTTTTTTTATTTATTTTAGGTTAAAGTGGCCAAAAAGTCATTTCTAGCACTTTTTGAAGGTTTATAACTTCGGTTCTAATGATCCCTATAACTAAAAACATATCTTAATTTTTGCAGCAAATCTTCCTTATTATTATTATAAATTTTTTTTATAAAATCCTTACTCAATTTTTAACAACCTATATTTTTTAAATTTACCTTTATTTATAAAATCTTTTTTAATATAGCTTACATTTAATATATTTCCCACAAATGATTTCTTGCTACCTGCCAAAATGCAGGTTTCGAATAAGGCAAAAATGACAGTTTTCCATTTACCCTAAAAGAATTATAACATGTTTTACATTTGTAATTAGGGGCAAATGGTTTATCCAAATTGCAGAGTGGAATATTGTAATAAATTTCATAAATCCTTTGATTGGAGAAATTGGACATTTTTGTGCGGGCAATATATAGCCCTCACAGATGTAACAAAATTTAGAGACACATTTTAAACAAGGGGACCTCGGCATTAATTTTTTATAGAATATTATATAAGGAGGGAATTTGAATAATATTTAAAATCCAATTTGAAAAAAAAATTAATGAAAGAAATTAAATGTATATGAAAAATTAAGCACGAAAAAAAAATTATTCTCCTTTCTTCCTACTCGTTACTCCTTGGAAAATCATATATTTTGATATAAATTGATTAAAAAAACAAATATTCTTAAATACATCTAAAAAAGATAAATATTAATAAAAAATATGAAAAAATTACCAATTATTGCATTTTAAATGAATTTTGCTTCAAAAATGCTAAATTCAAAAAGAGTACAAATTAAAAAAAGTGGGTACAGATATCTGATTTTGGTGTAAATTGATCATAAATGCATAAAATATTACTAAATACAACTAAAAAAGATAAATATTACCATAATTTTGCTTTAAAAATGCTTTATGCAAAGAAAATTCAATAAAAGTGTACAAATTAAAAAGTTCGAAAATATCTGTACCGACTTTTTTAATTTATAGATTTTGGTTGAATTTTCATGGCATAGAGTACTTTTGAAACGTAATTAGAATTAATATATAATCTTGAGCATATTTGAAGCAAAATTATATAAAATTTATCTTCTAAAGTTAATAATTTTGATAGTAATTTAAATTGAAAACTTAAGACCCCCAAAACGAAATTCTTTACCATTTTTCTCAAAAACCAATCGATAAAAAAATTATAAAAATTAGTAAATTTATAAAGAAATATAACCAATTTTCAGTGATTTTTATTCGATACTTTTTAAAATATATCCGTATAAAGACCTAAATTTTACCATTTTTGAGATTTCGAAAAGTTGTCTTTATACGGTAATATTTTTAAAACTTGACGTGTAGGGAAAATTTGGAAAACGGATTCGAACTCAGCGTCAAATTCTGCACCAAAACTTGTTTTTATTTTCTTCTCCCATTTTTCTTGTCACACAATGTAATCTTTCATTAACTCAACATTTTATTTCTTTATTTTTTCATAGAATTTGATGTAAATATTAATTAATTTTTTTTATTAAACATTTTTAAAGGTGGTTTATATTAATATTAAGTATTGTTTATGAATTTTTAAATGTGGTTTTTTTAAATATTAATATCAGATAGCTGCAGAGGTATTTTGCATTGCCCGAATTTTTAAAATAAAAAAATTTCGTCCAGGATCCTATTTTTAAAAAAATTAGGCCTGGCAAGGAATTTTTTAAAAATATTTAGGCATAGTCCGTGATTTTTATATTCAGGGCCGGCCCGTTCCAGACTTTTTTAGTGTTATTTTTGGTCTAACAACCATCTTTCAATCGTTTAAGTTCTTATTGATATTTCTATCTTCAATATCTACAAAGATTTTACCTTATAATATATATATACATTTTGTTGAACATATTTTGATTTGATAAGAATTTTAAATCTTCTTTGTAAATAAATCATTTTTGAGTAATTCTTTTGAGAATTTTATTATAAATAAACAATCTTTTAGCTAAATCTTTTATAGTTTTTTTTAGCATCTTTGTAAAATTATCTATTTTTTTAGTATATTAAAAGATGTGGTTTTTTCTAAATAATTTTTTTAAAAATTTTATATCTCTTTAAAGTTATTTTATATGATCTTATTAACGAAAATATTTTAATGTGACAATTGTCATATTCGTTATTTTTTAACATTTTTGAGATAAAGGGTAAAATAATATTTATATTATAAATGTTAAATTTAAATTCAATGAAGATGTTCCTTGGAAAATTGGCAATTATCATAATCAATATTTTTAAACGTATATTAGATTTTTTTTGACGCTAATGGACAAAAATATGTATTTTTAACATGATAAATTAAAATTTCAATTAAGATGTAACATATAAAAGTGACAATTGTCATAATCGTTGTTTTTAAAGTTTTTATAATTTTTTTGATGTAAATGGGCTAAAATAAGTATTGCTAAAATGTTTAAATAAAACTTCAGTGAAGATGTACCCTAGATAAGTGACGATTGTCATAATCTTTATTTTTAAAGTTTATATAATTTTTTGGTGCAAATGGGTATAAATATAGGTTGCAACATGTTAAATTAAAATTTCAGTGAAGATGTACCATAGGAAAGTGACAATTGTCATAATCGTCATTTTTGAACTTTTTCAATTTTTTAAAGGCAAATGGGTAAAATTTAATTGAAGATGTACCATAGGACAGTGACAATTGTCATAATCGTCATTTTTGAACTTTTTC